TTGCTCTAATTTCCACCAGAGAAGGGTCAGAAGATGAGGAGGGTTGTTGTGGCTGGTTCTTCTGGCTAGCATTGGGATGATAATATTTATGCTGATGTTGCTGTGGCGCCTGTGGTTCTTGTGGTGGTGGATTTTGAACATTAGTGCTCCGATAGGAAAGGTATGGATGATTCCGATACCCAGGATTGTAAGTGTTGGAGTATGGGTTATTCTGCCTATAAGCTTGGAAGGCATTAACTTGCTCCACGGAACTCCTGCAATCCTGCTCCCAATGACCTATAATACCACAATTTTCATAGAAAGCCTCATTAGAATTATTATTAATCGCAGAAACATTGGCAACATTAGGAGTGCTCAGATTATCTAATTTTTGGCAAATAGAGGTTAGTTGAGCTTGCAAAAAGGATACAGAGTCGACATTATGCTTCCCCTTGTTAGGAAATCTCTAGGGTTCCCATACTGGGAATTGTGTATTGCCATGTCTTCAATAACCTGACCTGCATCATTAACATCAAGATTCATAAATCTCCCACTAGCTGCAGAGTCTAAAATTATTCGTGAAGAATTTCCAAGGCCATTATAAAAGGCTTGGATTAACTGCCATTGTGCTAAATTATGGTGGGGGCAATCTCTTTGTAAATCCTTGAACCTCTCCCAAGCCTCATGTAAAGATTCATCGGCTTCTTGGGCAAAGTTCTGGATCGCACTCCGTAGTACGGCTGTTCTCTCTGCAGTATAATACTTGTTATAGAAATTCAGAACAAGAGTTTCCCAATCAGTTATACCAAGTGTAGTTCTATTTAAACCATTAAACCACAATTTAGCTTTTCCAGTTAATGAAAAAGGAAAGAGAATCTCCATGATTTGGTCTTGAGTGACCCCGGCTTGTCTGATGGTGTTGCAATATTGACAATAGTCGGCAATGTGAAGATTCGGGTCTTCACCCTTGGCTCCACTGAATTGCTTCCTCTCTATCATCGTTATAAATTGAGGTTTAATTTCAAATTGAACCCCATCAAGAGCCGGAGTAGGGGTGAGATGTGGAAAATCCGTAAGATTTGGTTGTGAATAATCACTAAGCTTCTTTGGAGCCGTCATCTCTGATTCTGCGTCTAATGATGTCACTGAATCGCTAGAACCAGTTGGAGGATTACGGTGATTATTGTTATTATCACCAGAATCCGCCAGGATTTGCTTGTAGAAATTTTTCTGTCTATGGAAGGAACGTTCGATCTCAGGATCGAATGGGATGTAACCTGATCTGGAACAACTGGGCATAAACAAAAACTAGAAGCAAATATGAGATTTGTCTCAGAGAACTAACGCTCTCTAAGACAAAAGGGAAATAATCTAGACTACAAAAACAATCAGAAATAAAAATAAAACCGTTTTCCCGGCAACGGCGCCAAATTTTGACAAGGTAAAGTCGTATCCCCTAATAAAAAATAATACCTAAATCCTCTAACTAAAGTAGATAGGGAAGTAGGGTCGATCTCCACAGGGAAACAAGTTTTTTTACTCCTAATTAATTAATATAATCTAAATTATCTAAGTAACCAATATTTATATTCGAATAAGTAACTAAACTACTAAGATTGAGAATAGACAGAAAATAATATATGAAAGGATCTAGGGTATAGGTTCACCAATAAATAATATTCCAGGGTAAAATATAATAATCATTCATCAAGCATACATCAATCAGATTATAAAGGGCTTTCGCTACGTATTATAATCACACAATAAATTTACCGGTATTAAATCTCTTCTTTCGAATCTCGACTTAACCATTTATAAATTAACCTGCCTATTGAAACTAGACCCAAATATTAATTCTCATCTGTCGAATCTTGAATTAATATTGCCAAACTCATGCATAAAAGATCACGCCTGATCTAGTCATAGAGCATTAATCCAATCAATAGGAAATTAATCTAGCATTGATAATTAACAACAACAAATTACCCCTTCATATTATTTATTAGATCCCCATAAACCCTAGAAATTAAACTACTCACAATTGTTACCAATAAGTAATCTGGAGTTAATGGAAGAATAATCAAGGAAGCAAATAAAATAACTGAAATTAAAGGGGAAGAAATTGTTACCAATAAGTAATCTAGAGTTAATGGAAGAATTTAGAACAAAAGTTGAGAGAAAGAAATCTAAGAGAACAATTAAGAGAGTAAAAAAAGTGTAAAAAGGAGAAGAAAAAGATCCTAAAATCGTATTACGGAGGAGTATTTATACTCCGTACAAAAATCCTAAACTAAAACAAATTAAAACGACGTTAAGCGTCAACTAATAAATACACGCGTCCGATCGGGCGAGGCACCGCCTGATCGGGCGCGCCTTTTTTTGCTCCTAATACTAAACTCGTGCCCGGCCGGGCGCGTCACCGGTCGCCAGCCTAAGCTTCTCCCGCCCGGCCGGGCGCGCCTCCGAGCGCCAGTTTCTTTGGCCGAGCGGCTCATTTGGGCCAATATTTGGACTACGATTGGGCTCCAATTTTTCGGGCCAATCTGGATTTCCTCTTCTGGTCTTGAATACTCAGTCCAAATGCCCCGGTATCACCTATACCGATCCCTTAATCACCAGTTCGATGGTTTTAACCGGTCCTGGGCTATAAAATCTTGTCGTGCTTCTCCAATGTTCGTGATTGCTCTAAAATATCTCGGGAAAATACTCCTAAAGCATAAATCCCTGCAAAAGTCAACCAAATCTACGAAAACACTAGAAAACACCAATTAGTAATAAAAGTGGCTCTAAAGAGCCAAAAACACTACTAATTATGACCAAGGGACGGGGGTAAAATACTATATAAAATAGACACATCATGGTGCAGGGATTATCTGTCAATCTCCTGAGGGAGATAAGTACGAATATGCACTACGGTTCAAGTTTCAGGTCTTTAACAATAAGGCCGAGTATGAGGCCCTGCTACCCGGCATTCGGTACCGCAAGGCGGCAGGGGCAAAAAAGATTGCCGCCTGCTCTGATTCTCAACTAGTCGTACTCCAAGTCAATGGAACGTACGAGGCCACTCATCCGGCCATGATAAAATATTTACAGGCGGTCAAAAGTGAAGTTGAGACACTTGAGGAGTTCCATCTAACTTAGGTGCCCAGATCTTCAAATAATCAGGCGGATGCTCTGTCAAAACTAGCATCATCCGCCTCCTGTGAAACGCCTCGGTCGGTCTTCTAGGAGGTCGTGGAAAAGAGAAGTATATCTAATGATGACCCCATTGGAATTCTCGACCGAAGCTCTACCTGGATGGACAACATCCGGGCTTATCTTGCAGACGACACGCTCCCTGATTCACCTCAGGAGGCGGCTGCTCTGAAGAAGAAAGCGGCAAACTTCGAGCTGAGACAAGGAGAACTCTTCAAAGCTGGTTTCTTGAAACCCCTATTGAAGTGTGTTACCCCAAAAAAGGGTAAAGAGGTCCTCGAAGATTTGCATGCGGGTTTCTGCGCCTCCCATATAGGCGGCAGGTCTTTAGTTGCCAAGGCCAGGCGGCTCTATTTCTGGCCAACTCTGGAGTCGGATGCTATGGAAATGGTAAAAAAATGTGACAAGTGTCAAAATTTTGGCAAGCTCATCCATCGTCCGCCCACAGACCTGACGGCCATCCACATCCTAATTTCCTTTGCCAAATGGGGCATGGACATACTTGGGCCTTACACCGCGGCCCCAGGCGGCAAACGCTACATATTGGTAGCTATGGATTACTTTACCAAGTGGGTAGAGGCGGAGGCGGTCAAAAACATCAAGACAAAAGACGTCATTTCCTTCATCTGGAGGAATATTATCACTCGCTTCGGGATGCCCATGTCTATGGTTTTTGACAATGGTCCTCAATTTAAGACGCCTCAACTCAAGACTTGGCTGGGAGAATAAGGGGTCTCAAGCCTCTTTGCATCAGTCGGTCGGCCCCAAGCAAACGATCATATTGAAGCCTTCAACAAGCTAATCTCAGACGGGATTAAAAAGAAAATAGAACGGGCTGGTGGTCTTTGGGCGGATGAATTACTACACGTCCTCTGGTCCATCAGAACGACTGCTAAAGGGGCGACTGGAGAAACCCCGTTCCTCATGGTGTATGGTGCAGAAGCTGTCCTGCCCATTGAACACGATGAGCCGACTCTTCGAGTCATGTTATATGACGAAGAAGCTAATTGGGAGGCCATGCGGCTGGCATTGGACTCACTTCCAGAGCGCAGGGGCAATGCTGCCTTGCGCCATGAGATTTACCGTCTGAGAATGACACGGGCTTACAACAAAAGAGTACACAAGCGTCCTCTCAAAGTGGGGGACTTTGTGCTACGGAAAATGGAGGCAGTCGGTAGGGCGAATGAGCAGGGAAAGTTAACCCCAAATTGGAAAGGCCCCTACCGAATATATGAGGAAGTAAGAGATGGCACCTACCGCCTGGAAGAACCAGACGACAGAAAGCTGCCTAGGACTTGGAATGTAGATAACTTGAAAAAGTACTACTTCCACTAGTGGAAAAATAGCCATCCGTAACGGGCAAAAAAGGCATATCCGTAACGGACAATGAGCGTTACGTATGCCACCGTTACGGATAGCAAGTGTTAGTTGTAACGGGCAGTGTCAGTTACGAATAACAAGTTATTCGTAAAGGGCAGTTGAAATGCCCGTTACGAATAACTCGTTATTAGTAATGGACATTTCAAGTGCCCGTTACAAATAACCCGTTATTTGTAAGAGGCTTTTCAACTACCCGTTACGAATAACAAGGTTATTTGTAACGGGCATGATATCTGCCCGTTACAAATAGTGTTACCCCAATTTTAAAAAAAAATCCAGCACATTGTGCTGGATTAGCTAGCTTGCATAATAATTATAGCACAATTATTTTATTAATTAAGTGAGATAAAAATAGTACTTCATATTTATACAATAAATAAAAAAAAATACATTTATTATTATCTAATAACTAAAACTAAAAAAAACAGAGCAAAAGAAAATCTCAATTGCAATAAGAGATTTAAATGATTTTCCACTAAATTAATGTTAAATCATTTACATCTTCCACCAATTTTTCAAGTTAGTGCAACTTTGATCTCAAATTCTGTGACAGCATCAGTTTTCACTTCATCTTCCGATCTGGTCGACCTACTTGATCTATTACCAACTCCATTGCTAGTCCTCCTGTTTATAGTAGTCTCCACAACTTTACCACCTACCAAATATTCAATCAAAAACCCACTTCAAAACCATCATTCATACAACATATATCAAGTAATTAACGGGAAATAAAATCGATTATTACTTGGGCTCGCATGTTCATAAAGAATGATTCAGGGATCCTTGTTAGAGGATTATTATTGAGCATCAGCATAGTAAGTTCTGGGGTCAAAGATGCCATACCACTTGGAATCTTATCGATTTTGTTATGACTCAATGACACCTTTACCATACCATTGCTTCATTGCTCCACTTCAGGCCTTTTTCCTGGATGTATCTCTGCATTCTTCAAGACTATGAGGTTATCTGATTCAACAGCAGTGAGAAAAGTCTACTTTTCTCTTATAAGTCTTCAACTCGTCATCTAAGTTAATAGCCAATAAATTGCACAAGACTCCTTTCATTGCAATTCCTGAAAAAGAATTAAATATGTTAGGTAACATATATTGTAGGTATGCCTTGAAAGTTTGTATTCGATTTCCTTGCTGCATATTTCCAACATCAAATAAATGTATAATATTCAACTAATTAGCTTGCTGAAAACGTGGTATATCTAATTGGCAAAAAGTTTAGGAAAAGCATGACAAATAAAAGAATGACAATGCTTGAACTTGACTGATTAGTAGTTGTTATCTTGTTCTGGTAACTTAAGCAAAAGTCAATATAAATGACTAAATGATAAACAAAGAAAAAGTAACTAGAAGAAAAAGAACAATCCAAATTGCAAGAGATTACAATCAAATACAAAAAAAAGAAAAAAGTTGTCTTTATACTTCTTCCATGGTTGCAGTTCATTACACATATTACTAGAATACTAGTATAGGTCAAGGTTCTCAATATTACGCCTTTTAAAGCTAGATCAACAAGTACATTGAGTTGTAGGCTAGATTATGATTTATGAATGCACATAAGGAAATAATGAAATCAAAATTTCATCACCCTACTGGTTTGTCCCAGCAAAATTCACTACTCCCTTTGCTAAAAACGTAGTTACGAAAATCAAACAATTTGGCTTTTGAAAACTGATGAATTCATAACCAGTCGAGTGCCACAAGCAGATGTACAACAAAGAATTTCTTTTTCATATGAAGTCAAACCACTAGATGCAAACCAAAGCTGGCAGCTCTTATCAAGGAAAGTACTTGAAGGGGAAACTCATTCAAACCTAGAGAGCTTCGTTAAAAGTCAAACATACACCTACATTTTTAGATCATAATAGGACTATTATAAACTAATGAATGTAGTCCACAATAGAAACTAGTTGAAGTCTATGTATCAACCAAGTATAATAAAGCTCCACAATTATAACATGATAAGTAACTAAACATGAGCCAGAAAAAAAAAACAATTTAAATGAGGTTAAACAAGCATATAAGTAAAGATAAACAACAACAAAAGCTAATAAAAAATATGCTTACCCTGATGGTGTCGTGGTGGTTCCAACTGACTTCCATTGATAGACGGCCAAGCAAGCAGTATTTGTGACCCTTTTGAAGCCTCAACACCCTGAATTAACCCAACACGAGACACTGTTAATACTTAGAGGCAAAATCCCAATTGAAAACTATATATTTACAGATATAAATTGAAACTAACACATTGAAAGAACATTAATTAGCATATTTTAAAACTTAAAATCCCAATTCACAACTAGAAAATATCTTTCTTTTTTCACATAAAGTTTAGCTTTATTCTACTAAAAATAAGAGTTATAAAACAAAACATCAGCCAAAAATATCTTACAATTTGTTCATGATAATCCAAAAAATCAAGAAAAAATTCAAAAATCTAAAATAAGCATCAAAACCAATACTCACTAAATAAAGACGAAATAACACAAAAATAACAAACACAAAAATTCAAGATAGGTTTTGAGAGGACGAAAATTCAGATAAAAAGATAACAAAGAAATTGAGTAAAAAATGAAACATATAACACAATCATAATTTCCAATATGCATATCCTAAATTTAGGTGAGAAACTTCTAGACCAAAGCAGATAGTATCTCAAACACCACAAAATCCCAAAATCAATGAAAAAAAAAGCCAAAAATCCGTGCTTAAGAACACATAAAAATGCATATAATTGACAATCATAACATAATCAAAGCAAATAATTCCTCAATTACCAGGAAAAAAAAAATGCAAAAACATACAAAGAAGCAAAGAAATGCATAAATAATTACAATTAGAAAATGTTTAAAAAATTGAGAAATAGTTAAATTCGGACTAAAATTAATTAAAAAAATGGTTGAAATAACCTGAATATGCTGATAGAGGAAGGCAAGTAGTGTTTAGGGAAGGAAGAGGCGCCATTAAAGAGTAAATTTGCCACAATAAAGCGTAGTGCCCAACAACCATCCCCCCACCAGGAACCCAGATCTGGCCATGAACACCACCCTCACAAACCCACAAAACCCATTACCCATGAAATCACAATACTAATTTAAGAGTAAAGCAACGAAAAAATTAAGGAATTTAGATAGAAAAATAAGGGAGACTGAGTGACGGCGGCAAAGGGAGACTTAGTGACGGCGGCAAAGATAGATTGAGTGAGTAAAAGATTGAAAATGAAGGGAAATGAAAGAGGAGAGAAGATAAAGAGGGGGGAGGGCAAGAATTGACGGCTAAAGAGTGAAACCCTAATACGAGTAGTAAATGGGCTGTGGGATATGGGCTATGGGCTCCTCTCCATCAGTTGGACTAAATTATTTGTGACGGGCACTTTATGCTTGTTACGAATAATATAGTATTTGTAACGGGCAATAATTTGCCCGTTACGAATATTATATATTTGTAACGGGCAGTATTTTGCCCGTTACGAATATTATATATTTGTAACAGACTCCTATTTTGACCGTTACAGATATATTTAATGTAACGGGCATAGCTTTGCCCGTTACGAATAGCCTGTTACGAATGACAATTTTTCCACTAGTGTTCTAAGTACGAATGTAAATACCTCAAATTTTGTCATTTAAAATTTGTCTAATGAGAATATGCCTTCATTTCCAGCTTGTCTTTTCTTATTATTAGTGTCGCCTGTACAAAATACAGACGGCCAATGTATTTGGATAGCGTCTGTCCTAATAGCAGACGTCCCAATCCCTCTGAAGAAGCCGACTGCTTTAAAGCAGTCGTTTCTACGAAATTCTATAAATTTATGCCAACACTTAACGAATATTTACTTAAATCTTAAAAAGGCATAAGGTCAGATAAAATCATTTTGAGGCCAATGGACGTATATTAGGAAAAACATATAGAGGTCGAATGGTCACAGTCTGCTCCTACATGAGTATGACCATCTGCTCCAACATGAGTCAAATAACCGACGACGTCCATTCGGGCGAATTCATCGAGGAGAAGCATCTCCCATTTGGGTGGCACATTGCTCTACAAATACATCAAGCGGCCCTACCGAATGCTAAGCAGCATTCGCAGTCGTTTGGTTTAATCGAAAGTGAAATTTTAAAGGCCAGAATTTTCTAACTGTTCTAGCACGGTCGGGAAAGGGTCACTGTTTCATAAGTAGAGGCTATTGAGGCATTAGGCCGGATGCGCCTGTTTTTGCTCTGGGGAAAGACAGGCGGAAATTTTTTACTAATCTACAAGTCTAGTTAACTAATGAGGCCCTTGGCCAGATACGCCTGTTTCTACCCAAACGAAGGACAGACGGACTATTACTTACCAAGAAAACGAGCTAAAATACTTAGCAGATTAAAATACTTGTGGGTCGGATGCGCCTGCTCTTTGCTCTTGGGGCGAGACATGCGGTTTATTCTAAAGTAAAATTAAAACTAAGTTAAAACTTAGCATCTTATCTCGTCGAGGCCTTAGGCCGGATGCGCCTGCTTTTAACTCTTGGAGAAAAACAGGCGAGGGATTTTTGTTTAGCAGATTTGCTAAATCAAGAATCTTGTATTTCGTTTGAGCCAATGGCCGAATGAAAACAATTATTCATTTGCTCCGGATGGCCGTCTGTCGCGTGGTTTGGGGCAATCACCATAGTGATTGATTGACTTAGAAACCATGTATACTCTTCTAAGTATCAATAATTTCTAAGTCATCCACTCAATCAAAACCACTCGACATCCGTCCAGGGGCAAGAACATTCGCATGGTATACAGGTTGTAATACTTAGCCAAAAAACATGCAATGAAAAAATTTGAAGGACAACAATATGAATAACTTCAGCCAAACAGCCGAATGATTTTAAATTAAAAAGACCAATCGCCACCAGACGATTGGGTAAGATTGTTTGCTGGCAAAGCCAGATGAATTATCAACTTACCCGACCCCTCGGTCGGTAAAGATACATAAATACTCGGCACGCAGGCCGGAAGATGAAATGTATGGCCATTCGCCCGCAGAAATAACTAAAAAGCTTTAAGGGACGAAGGGATTATCAGCATTGGCAGCAGCATCATCAGTTGCCGGCTGCTCTTCATTTTCATCATCCTCCTCTTCCCTGTCTTCGTCTCCGGAGGAGCCTGAAGAGGAGTCGGCCTCTTCACCATCAGCGTCATCCTTGTTCGCCTCCTCTTCAGCATGACGAAGGAGTTCAGCATTGAAATCCTCGTTTGCTTGATCAAACTTAGATTTCCAGATGCCAAAATCAGCCCCCGGCTGTACCGCCTCCCATGCCGTCTGCATGATGGATTCATAGTCTTCCATCATTTGTTTGACAAGGGCCTGCTTCTCCTCCTCAGCCCGGGACTGGAACTTGGCCTTCAGCTGCTTCTGCTGGTTCGCCAAGCGCCCCTCCAGGCGGCCAACCCGCTCCTTGGCCCTCTCAGCCTCTTTCTTGGCCTCTTAAAGAGGCTCAAGCTTTTTCTTAAGGCCTTTAACTTCAGCCTTAAGGTCATTGATTTTGGAGCGGGCTGAATCCAAGTCCTTCTTCACTTGCAGGTTGGCGTCCGCCTGGGAATACATCATATCAAGGGTCAGAAGCTCATTCTGAGCAATTTCAAATTTAGCTCGGTCTAAGGCGGACTCGGCTCGAGCTTTAGCGGCTGTTACCTCTTTAGATTTTTCCTGGATTGGCCATCTTAGCCCCTGGACGCGCAGCATGGCCTGGAAATAAGAAAAAGACGGATAGTTAGAACCAGTCGGATATGTGCTAAATATTAAGGAAAATTTAGCTAATTTTTTTACCTCACAGAGGTTCCCCAAGATGGCATCCAAGTTAAGGGTGCTGACTCCTCTTACGGACGCCTTGTCCTCTAGATCAAGCGCCCGCAGCATCTCCTTGGCCATCTAGACGACGGTCGGCCTTTGCACAGGAGCTGCAAAAATATAAGTTAGTCAAGAAAGTTCCAAGAAACAATCTTAAGTATTGAAATTCAATAAAGATGCGGCTCATACCGTCCGGCTGAGCTTCCTCCTCCTTCTCCTTCCCATGACGCCTCTTCTCTCCTGCTGAGCCGACAGTAGTGCTGGGTTGCTTAAAGCCACCTTTCGATGACTGAGTGGCATCCGGTTTGCTGACCTCCCTGTCTGCTTCGAGAGTAGAGCCGTCCCCTCTCTTGGGCTTGTGAGCGATGTGCTTCCGGTTCTTGCCGGATGCACTCACATCACCCGCCCTTGTCATTTTGAATTTTTGGTTGGGATTGCTTGGAGGGAGAAGGCCTGGTGGAAACGCTCTGCATGAACAAAAGGAAAGGCGTCAGAAAAGCAGGCGAGCAAAATTTAACCTCTATTGAAAAAATATACCAAGTATCATAAACAACTACCTTGGGAGTCCCGACTGCTTTCTGCTCATCACTCGCCCTATTGAGGACGTTGGTGCGGTACTTAGCTGCAGAGACGGTAGCCGACTTCTTTGTTGCCGAGAGCTTTTCCATTGCTTTGTCTGCACCAAAAAGAAGGAGTTAGGATTTATAAACATACACTGAAAAACAATTTAAAATTTTGCATAAAATTAGACGGCCGACTACCTCTCGGCATCTCAGAGCTTAGACCACAAGCGGCCAAGTACACCCCATCTTCTAGCCACTTGTAAAGGGGAATGTAGCTCTGGGGGACAACTATTTTCTCCCCATGCTCATTTGTCCGAACGGACACTTTGAACAGATCCTGGTCAAAAATTTCCTCCTGGGCCCGCCTAGGGGGAGGGGGCAAGGCACTCTTGCCAGTCAGGAGGGGCGGATCCTTGTTCCACCGATTGTATTTTTGGTTCAGTCGGCTTTCAGAAGAATGGACAATGTAGAACTTTGTTCTCCAGTCCTTCCATTTGTTCTCTTTGCCGACTGCCATCATACACCCCTTGCAGGTGGACAAGGTGTACCAGCCTTCGCCGCCCTTGGCAGGCGCTCGACTGAGATAGTGCATGTGGGCGAATGCCTCAAAGCTGGGATCCACCTCCAGCATTTCACATGCGGCAAGGTACCTGATGATATTTATCCATGAGTTCGGGAGAAGTTGCCAGATACCCAGTTGGTATCTGTCCAGTATCCTCTCCACGGCCGGATGGAGAGGGAAGCGTAAACCAGCCTGAAGGACCGCCTCGTAGCAGCTGAAGCTTTGTCCTTATAACTGGCCAGGGAGGGCCAAGTTATAGTATCCTCCTTGTTGGGGACGGACAAGGAGAAGCCATGCCCCATTACGGTCTTGCACCTGAAATTGGCAGAACCGGATGTCATGGAGGTTCGCTTGCTTTGCAGAACATGGTGATAGTAGGGGGTGCGCTCCAAGCGCCTGGAAGCACTCGGCTCCGCCCAACCTTCCCCCTTTTCTACTGACAAGGACTCCCTTGCAGTATCTATATTTGCTCTGGCCTCCTTTGACTTAACAGAGGCGCTATCAGAAGATGATGAGGCCGAATCGTCATCAGAACTTTCCCCAGAGCTAGGGGACTGCCGGCTAGGGCCAGCAGGGTCCTCCCCTAGACTCTCCTCCGACGTCTGTTCTGAAGGCTCGGCCTGGTACTGACTGTCGGCTTCCCGCAGTATAGTATCACTGGGGGTGCCACTTGAAGAAGAGGGAGAGTAGTAAGTTGGAGTTTGGGGAAGGTCAGAAGAAGGGTTTGGGGGGTGCTCAAAATCTCACTAGCTGGCACCCTAATGGAGCCGTCTGAATTTGGAGTCTCACTGTCCGAATGGTAAAAGGTACCATCCGGCCTATATCTCCTTGTTATCTGCTTTGTTCGAGCCATCGTGTCCTGTAGATGCACAGACACTGTCGGATTTGGAGATGTACTTAAAGGAAAGTTCTCGAACGAGCATTCGTCACTCCTAGTTCTAGATTCAGCCGTCCCCGGTGACCGGCTGATCGCTAACCTAGGCCGTGCCCGTGTACGTTTGGGAAACCATTTGAATAAATGAAAAACGCAAGAAAAAATAAAAGAAAAGAGCAGGCGGTTACCTTAGAAGAAGGTATTTGAATTAAGGCGCTTGGTTGGCTGAAGCAGTCGGGCAAAGAAGCCGAGTGTCGGATGCTTGACAAAAGTTAGGGTCTTTGAGAGTCTTTGAAAGTCAAAAGTCCAGAGATTCTCCAAGATTTGCAAAGGTGTGAAAACGAAAATGAAGTCAAACCCTCCTATTTATAGAAAAGGGAAACCCTAATTTTTCCCCCCAAAAGCAATTTGAAAATCCAACCAGTCATATGAAGACACCTGTCACAGGTGCCACGTGCAATGCACGTGATCCCTATGAGGGGTAAATGATTTGGGTATTTTTACCCGGCCAGGTGGCCCAATCAGAAAACGCCACGTGTCCTCA